TTTGCTCTCTTGAATTCAACTTCTCTCATTTGGACTTAGGATTTATCCTTTTTTCTCTCTCAAAAGATTTTATAGTCTTTTTATTAGGTTTTGGGATGTATTTCTGAAGATGTTGAACCTCAAACTTTTGTTTATCCATGCATGCTCAAAAGTTTTATATATATATATATATATATATATATATATATATATATATATNTATATATATATATATATATATATATATATATATATATATATATATATATATATATATATTGTTAAGTAATGTTCAAGAGCTTTATTTATAGCCATTTCTATTCTCTTTTAATTACATATAAAGTTGGACAGGCCCATGCAACAAGGGGCTCAAATTAATTGAAACCTTAACCCTGAACTAGAGTGAGAGAGAGAACCCGAGACCCAACTTGTGAAAAAGGTTAACAACACTAGGTTAGATTATGTTAATTATGTATAGTCATTTTTTTAGATAACAAAGATGACTATGTAAATAGAGAGACAGGGTTCTACTTGGATTTATTTATGGACCATCGGTAAAAGCCCATAGAAATAATTTCTAGTTTCAATTAAATCAATGACTTCAAAACATTAATCTACCTTTCTTACTTATTGGAGACCTTAATGAGGCAGATCATATCACAATCCAAGATCCATTCCCCTTTGGCAGAACAAGTAGGCTATCCTCTACTCAATACCATACCTTGATATTTGATCATAATATTACTGAAATTTATATCCAAGGTGGTAAAATGAGTTGGTCTAATAAGAGATCTATAGGTCTAGTTAATAGGACTCTAGATAGAGCCTTAGCTACCCTTGATTGGATCTCAGCCTTTCCTCATGCAACCCTCAATATTTTTGCTCGATGGGGATCTGATCATCATCCTCTAATTCTTGATATTTCCCCAAAAAGGGATCAACATCCTAAACCTTTCAAGTGCTTTGAAATGTGGCTTTTAGATGAAACTCGTAAATCTGAAATACTAAATGGGTGGAATTCTCCTATGACTGGTTATACGGCATTTCGAATCTCATCAAAGATGGATCAAATCAAGCATAATCTTATTCATTGGAAGAAAACCAAATTCACTGATCCCTACCATAACTTGAATCAGTTAGAATCCCAAATACTTCAATTAGAACAAAATACCCATTGGAATCATATGGAAATAAGATTTCTATACATAAAAAAATATAATGAAGCAAAATTACAAATTGGAAGTTTTTGGAGGCAATGATCCAAACAACTCTGGCTCAATTTGGGAGACAAAAATACTAATTACTTTCATAAAAGTACAATGTGTCGCCAAAGAAGAAATGAAATTCAAGGAATTAAAAATAATCAAGGGACTTGTGTGACTGCTCATAAGGATATAGTTGGAATCTTTATTGACTATTTTTCAGATCTTTTTACTCACCATTCCTCTTCTGATTTGACATCTGTCACTGATTTTTTCAACCCCATCATCATTGAGGAAGACAGTCAGATGCTAACTACTATCCCTTCTGAAGAAGAGATCACATCAACACTATTCAGTATAGGGAGTCTTAACTCTCCAGGACCAGATGGAATGCATATCCTAATGTATAAGGAATTCTAGGACTTGATGAGTGTTGATATCATAGACTTTGCTAAAGAATTTTTCCAAAATAAGAAATTAATGAAACATCTCAATCATACCTTTATTTGTCTAATTCCCAAAAAGGAAAATTGTATCACAATTTAGGATTAACGTCTAATTAGTCTTTGCAATGTTCTGTACAAAATCCTTTGAAAAATTCTAGCCAATAGACTATGTACTGTATTGGATAAATGCATCTCTCTCCTAACCAATAAGCTTTTATTCTAGGCCGACAAATGGTGGACAATACCATTATTGCCCATGAAAGGTTTCACTACCTGTAACATCATAGAAAAGGTATAAGCTATGTGGCTATTAAACTAGACATGACAAAAGCCTATGATCGCCTCAAGTGGTCTTTTCTTCTTGAAGTTCTCAAAGCATTAAGATTTGCACCAAACTTTTATCAAATCATTCATGAATGTATTTCCTCAGTTTCTTATTCCATTCTAATCAATGGTACTGTAGAGGGCCAAATTTTACCTACTAGGGGCCTCAGGCAAGGAGAACCTTTATCTCCTTACCTTTTTATTATTGCCATGGTATACTTAACTCACACGATCTCCAAAGCTGAAAATGATAACCAAATCCAAGGTTTAAAAATCTCACCGCGAGCCCCTGCCATCTCTCACTTATTATTTGTTGATGACATTCTTCTATTCTTAAGAAGTCATAAAGATGAACTAAATTCCCTTAAAACTCTTCTTCACCAGTTTTAGAATCTTTTAGGACAACTCATTAATATGGACAAATCTGGTATCTATTTTAGCAAAAGTACTCATTCAAAACATCAACGAATGATTCGGAGACAACTCCAAATGAAATCCCTTCCTACAAATTCAAAATATTTAGGTCTCCCTTTAATTTGGGGACGCAACAAGCATTCTCAATTCTCTTTCATCTTGGAAAACCTTAAGAATAAACTTAATAAATGGAAAACCTCCACCATTAGTCAAGCAGGTAAATGAGTTCTTATACAATCTGTTTTTCAATCCATTCCTTCTCATTCCATGATTGTAACTCAATTACCTTAGAAAACAATTAATGAGATTGATCGAATCATTAAAATTTTTTGGTGGAGCAAATCTAAAAAGAATCCCTATCCTTATGATTGGGCTCCTTGGAACAAACTCACTCTTCCTAAATCACTTGGTGGACTAGGTTTTAGACAAACCAAGCTAATTAATAATGTCCTTAAGATACTCGCTTGGAGATTTCTTAATAATCAGCAAATTTGGTGGGCCCAGTTATGGAAATCTAAATACCTACCCCGTAATACCCTTTTTCCCCACAACATTCCTCATTCTAGTTCTTATTTTTGGAAATCGGTAGCACCCAAACTACAAAATCTTCTCCTAGAGGTAGGTTTCTTAGTCTCGAAATCTTCCACGGATAGTATTACTCAAGTTCCCTAGTTACAAATTAATGATAAGTTTCAGCTTATTATTCAACCTATCCTTGCTCAATTAGCAGATTTTACTTTCTCTAATCTTATGGAAAATGGTACTCGGCACATACCAACAATCCAAAGTCATTTTGATTCTCAACAAACTACTCAAATCCTTAAGACTCCTATTTTACTTGTAAATACTCCTACCCAATGGATTTGGACTAAGCACTCGTCAAGAAAATTCAAAACTTCAGCTGCTTATACTGCTTTAACTCAAGATTTTATTCCTTTCCTATTTGATCAAATAAAATTTTGTACCAAATGGATATGGAAACTTTCTTGTCCCCCTTGTTACCAACTTTTATTGTGTAGAATCATCCATGGTTACATCCTTGTAAAGGATAAAATCCTTCTTGACACTCAAGATCTAACCTGTTTTTTCTGCCAAAATCATCATGAAACCCTAAATCATCTTTTCCTTGAGTGTCCCTTTAAAAATATGTTCTCTTTGCATCACCCTAGAATATAAATCTTACCGATGCAACTCTTTGATCATGGATTGACTGTATTATTAATATTGATCATAAGAGCCCAGATAAAAACACTTTTCGGACAATACTTTCTTGGTATGCTATTGCTTTATATTACATCTGGTTTGCAAGAAATGAAAGAATCTTCAAATTCAAATATTTCCAATCGTTGGATTATAAGGAAAACTAATGCTACTTTTTATGACTTTTTGGGCTCTCAGCTGCAATCAAATCTATCTGTAGAATTATCCCCCCATCTATGTTTATAGATCAAACCATATACTGATTGTATCATTTTCACTGATGCAGGGAAAGTTAACCACTCTCTATTTTCTTATGGAATTATCATCCTAAATGTTCAATTACATTGTATCCAGGAGGAAAGAAAAGATTAACATTTGTAGCAAAAGCTGAACTTTTTGCTATCTATCAAAGAAGTATTTTGGCCCAACAACTTGGAAAATTTCATCCGATGATTTGTTCAGACTCCTAGATCATTGTTCAAGCTTTTCAAAAACAAACATCTCTGCATTGGTCATCCTTAGGACTGTTACTAGAAAATCAAAATCTCTTTTATGCTTTTAGATCTTTTCAGTTATTATATATTAATAGGAGGTATAATTAGGGATGGTAATTTTCCCCATTTCCCCAATCCTCGTGGGGATTCGCCCCGAATAGGGCAAGAATGGGGATGATTTTCCCCTACGGGGACAGGGATGGGGAAATTTTCATCCCCGTTAGTGGGAACGGGGCGGGGATGGGGAGAGCACTCCTCGCCCCGCGGGGACCCCGACCCCCGCTTCATGGGATCCCTACTATATAAATATATATATATATATATATATATATATATATGTATGTATGCATACGCTATATATGTAAATATGTAAACATACATCTATGTATTAATATTTTTAAAAATATGGTTGAATATGTTTGGATATTTTTTAATACGATTGTAATTCTAATTATTTTATTTTTATTTTTTAAATAAAATAAAAAACAAAAACAAAATGATTAACATTATAAAGAATCATAGGAAAAGGGAATCCTCGCGGGGATCGGGATAACCTTGTCCCCGTTAGCGAGGATGGGAACGGGGATGGAGGGGGATTCTCGTGGGGACGGGGACGGGGAGAGGGTCCCCGCCCCACCCCCTTGCCATCTGGGTATAATGTTCCTGCACATCAATTAGCAAAATGGAGTAAATATGTTATACGGGAACATTTTTTGTTACCCACTTATCAGGCGGTGTCTAAAACCTTGTAAGCTGCTCCTTTTGTTGATATATTGTGATTTTCCTTGTCAAAAAAAGAAAAAAAGAAAAAAAGATTTCACACCCAAAACCTTTTAATCCCACCCAAATAATTACGGTTTTAGGGGCATTTAAATTATATAATTTGTTTATCATCTATAAAAAAGAAAAAAATATTTGAGATTTCAACGATAAGGAGGCCTTCGATATGGGACCAGAAGAATGTTTTTCGACTCCGAATTATCTTATAGGTTTCCGTGTGGCTCACCTTGGAAAGCCAAGAGCCGCTGAACTTGGGTCCTCCAAACGTGGCATCTGCTCATCTCATCGGCGTTGTCCGTCGTGAATGCCGAAGGAAAAGATCAGAAACATCAGATGGAGGAAATCACTATTCCCCTCCTCACTCCCTATAAAATGGGCAAGTTCGATCTTTCTCACAGGTCCGTTCAATCTTGTTTTTGTTTGAATTGTTCCTTTTTGAGCTTAACGAGCTTGGGTTTTGTTAAAACTGCTATAGTATAATTTATAATCTGTTAACCAACCCAGTGGTGGCTCTGTTGGCATGTTAGCAGGGTTACGCGGATTCGAGTCCCGCTATAACCCACCTACGTTGAAAAGTTAGTGTGTTGTATTAAGTACAAAACAATCTGTTAAAAGGGATAGTTTTGTTTATGTTCTTTTGGTGGATAGATATAAACATCGGCTTGAATTCCGAATGAATTGGGGTACTTTTGAGAAACAGGTATTTGTGGAAATCCTTGTAGGTTTTATTCAGTAGAGAGGTCACCTCTTGACAAGAGACCTGCCACATTTGGTTCCATATTTAGATGCCAACGTTATAGTTTCACTTTTGTACTTGCCAATGTTATAGTTTCACTTTTGTATTTGCCAATGTTATAGTTTTTCGCTTTTGTATTTTGACTAGAAACCAGAGAACGGCCATGTGCAATCCACTCTCCCAAGAACCCCGGATAGCCGGGATCAACATTCTGGAATAGCCTTTTATTCTTGAGTAGAAATGGGCGCATATTGTTTTCAAGTGTTTTGTATTAACTGCAATCTGCATGTTCTTAACCCAAAGAAAATAAGGCTATATTTGGTTTGATAGAAAATAAGAGAGAGATAAAGTTAGCAAAGTTCTTTATGCTGTGTTTGGTTGCAATTTGCACTAGTACAAATGCATGAGAGTGCAAATGTAAAAAATGCAAATTCTTGTTTAATTTTGTTTTGGATTTTACTTTATTCTGCTTCATGTCTTAATTTACTTCATTTGTACCACAATCAAACAAAATAAGCTAAAATTTGAAACAAAAATAGGTCAGAATTTACACTCAAATCATTTGCACTGCCATGGTTTTGCATTAGTGTAAATTTATTTGCATTGCAATCAAACACGGCCTTAGGTTCAATTTGGAAGGAGTACAAATACAAATATGTGCAGTGCAAAACTTTGCATTTTGTATGTATTTGTACTGTACATATTTGTATTTGTACTCTTTTCAAACTGAGCCTTTAGGAATTTCACAAAATTTGTTATGAATTTTCTCTGAACTTTCTGTGTCTCTTTTATTTTCTATCAAACCAAACATATCCTAAATGAAAGAATTTCACTTAGTGGGTTAGTCAAGTTTGTTGTGGCTTTGCTTCTCCTGCAATGGTTCTTATCATCTGAGTTATTTGCATCTCTTAAACAAATTTGTTCATCCATTATATTATTTTTATTCTCCAATTATGCATTATGACAATGATATAAAGTGCGTCTTTGCTGACTTTCTTAGTTGCTACCGAACTACATAGTCTTAGATGCTAAATACATTTTGAATGTCAATATTCAAACTGAGGATCTGCATTCTATTTTGTGTATTCAGAGTAGTTTTGGCACCATTAACTAGACAAAGATCATTCAACAACATTCCTCAACCACCTGCTGTCTTATACTATTCTCAGAGAACCACCAAAGGGGGACTTCTCATAAGTGAAGCGACAGGGGTTTCTGACACTTCTCAAGGGTAAATTTATCATCTAGAAATTTCTCTTTTTTGTTTAGAAATTAAGAAAAGAAACTGCATGTTGTCTTTAACTTCATGTATGTTTAACTTTGCTTCTTCTTCCATAATTCAAGGTATCCAAATACACCTGGTATTTGGACCAAAGAGCAGGTGGAAGCCTGGAAACCTATTGTGGATGCTGTTCATATGAAGGGTGGCATCTTTTTTTGCCAGATTTGGCATGTGGGAAGGGTTTCTAACTATGGTATATTCTGAATTGAACCAATTTATTTTCTACTCTTCTATTTGTTTTCTTGACTATATATGATGAAAACAGCCATGGTCCCAACATCCACAAGATGGAATTAGTAGAAAGATTCCATCATATATCGGGAAGAAGTATCCTTTGATTGAACTCTCCATGTGTTGTTTAAGAAATTTATGTTTGTCAACATGTGTGGATTTTTTTTCGATGGTAAACAAAAAACATTTATTAAGGCCCCATTTGTTTTTTAGGAGGCCACTTACCTGGTAATTCAGTTACCTGCATTCTTTTGATTCCTAAGCAAGTTATACAATGACCTTTTTACCCATGAAAAGTCATTGTTAGAATGGGCAAACTTGTCCCATTACATTTTGTAAACTTCCCTCCAGGTGGGAAAGTTACTTACCCACCTAGGACATGGGTATCACTTATCCAGGTAAATGGTACCCAGGGAAAATAACTTTGCCACAGGGCCCACAACTTATCGAGAATAACATAGTAAAGTTGGACACTGGGAACCACTTTCCTTCTGACCAACTTCCCCCCTCCTATTTCCTGAAAAATGAACGTGCCTAAAAAGAAAAATTATAAGCAAGGTGACAAGACATCACCCAATTGAAAAGAAACCCAGAAGCAAAGAAGGCCCACACCCTTCTAAACCTCACTCCACATAAAAACCCCAATACCAAAATGAAAAACAAAACAAAATCCCCAAGCTCTAAATGATCAGATCAGCCCAAATCATCATCACAATCCACCTGCCCTTCTTACACACCATCACCCAATCAAAAGAAACTCATGATAAGATTTGGAAATCTTTTCTGCTATTGATGTTTTATCTTTGCAAATTTGCAAATTCCCTTGCACCAAGATTTTTTAATCTTAATATAATATCAGGAAATTATATAGTTTTTGTATTTTTTTTCTTTTGTGAGATGAAAATCTGTTGTGCTATAGTTGATTTGCACCGAGTAGAACTTTACCATGAACCTGAGATATCTGTACACGGGTGCCATGCACTTTTTTTTTAATCTTAATGTAATATTGGAACATTGCATAGTTTCTATAAATTTCTTTCTTTTGTGAGATGAAAATCTGTTGTGCTGTAGCTAATTTGCACCGAGTAGAACTTTACTATGACCCCGGGGATACCTGTACTGCTGTACAAGGGTGCCATGTTGTGTCAGATACTTCAATTTTTCAGTGTACATTCTATTTCTGATACCATTTCCAGATGTGTCCTTACTATCTCCAGTAACATAGGAACTTCAAAAATTTTCTACCAGAAATAAACTGGGACTAGGTAGTAATGTAGTGTAAGTTTTGACTTGAATGGTGTCTGTATGTATATGAGTATTATAGGTTTCATTAAATTTTGTTAGGTGAGGAATGACATGAAGAAAAAGTTTCTATAACTCTATGAAGTATGTAAGCAGAGAAAACTTCCTGAAATTCTGTAATTTATTTCCTTTTAAACTACTACAATCAGAAAAATTGTAGGGATGCTATCACTTATTGATTAAAATGATGAAGTTATATATTTATCTTATAGAAGAAGAAAACATGAATATGCTTTTGTTATGCTTCTATTTGACCATTTTTCTAACCTGATTGTCTGAACTAATTGATCCCTTTGAAAGATTAGGTTTATTGTGATTGATCCTCATTTTTCTTTTCAACACCCTACAGGTTTTCAGCCAAATGGGAGAGCTCCCATCTCTTGTACTGATAAACCATTGAAGGCACAACTTCGAGCTAATGGTGTTGATGTAGCAGAGTTCTCACCTCCACGACGATTAAAAACTGAGGAAATCTATCAAGTTGTCAATGATTTTAGGATTGCAGCAAGGAATGCTATGGAAGTTGGTGAGAATTCTCAAACCAAATCTATGGCTTCTCAAGCTTTGAAAGAACTTTCAAAGAAATTGAGAATGCACTGCCCTTCGTCTTGTCTAGTGCTTCTTTTCCCCTTGAAACCAAGTTAGAAAAAAGAAACTTAAATGACTGTCAAAGGCAGGGAAAATCTAAAGGACTTTTTTGAAGTAGAACAAACAAACAAACAAACAAACATCAAACCTGATTGGTCAAATTTCAACGATGAAATCTATGAATGAGAGTGTGGTAAATATGACGAGGAAGAGGAATCAAATTTAGAAATTCCTTATATTGCACGTTTCCAGAAATACATTGTAATCATGAACTTTTTGTTCTATTTAAAAGTAAAAATGAATTCTAGAATACATTTAGAAAATGAACATAAATATAGTAGTTCGGAATCTATAAATAGAAGAATTAATTTCTGAGATAGGGTTGTTGGTCAAGTTGATAGCACTTGTGTTGTTACACATAATTGGGATATGGTCAAATTTTAAATCAAAGTCATCTAAAGTTTTGCTTCATCCACAATAGTAACACAACTACCAACAGCTATGTACTTGGCTTCAACCCTAGAAAGTGTCACTAAGGATTGTTTTCTACTATGACATCCTATTAGTGCATTTCCTAAAAATTGACAAGCACCACTTATGCTTTTTCTATCAACTTTAGAACCAATCACATCTGTGTCTGAGTAGCCTATTAGATTGAAGTCAACGCCCTTGGAATACCAAAGTCCTAAATTTGGAGCAAGGATCAAAATTTTGCAATAAATTAGTCAATATGTGTTGTATCATTATGTCATCAATATGTGAAATTTTGGTCTTTTGCAACTTTGACCGATTTTAGGGGCTAGGCAGGCCTTAGGTTGAGCCCTTGACTGGTTTTTGAAAAAAAAAAATCTAGAAAAACGGAGTATGGGGTTAACACACCTGATACACCCCATTTAGCATATTAGGCTGTATCGATATTTAAAACCTTGATTTAGGGTACCTTCAAATATATAAATATATCGAAAGACTCATCTTAGGGTCAAGATTGAAGTCTGGCACAAACACAAACTAACATTATGTCTGGCCTATTTGCTGTCAAATACAATAGACTATCAATCATACCATCCTTTTGTATGAACTGATTTACCTTCTTGATCTTTGTCAAGCTTTAGAGATGTGCTAATGGGTGTATCAGCCATTTTGGATTGATCCATTCCATATTTCTTGAGTAGTTCCTTTGTGTACTTAGCTTGATTGATAAAAATTCTATTAATTTCTTGCTTGACTTGCAATATGAGAAAGAAGTTCAATTCTCCTATCATGTTCATTTTGAATTCTTGTTGCGTAACAAAAAAAAGAGAGTGTTGAGATTTTGGTGATGAGTCGCTACACGGGGATTGAAGGGTGGGAGATTCGGCGGTGGATTCATTGAGGGAATCAATCTCAAAGGGATTTGGTAACCCTTAGAAGAAGGTGGGGAGGATTTTTTGCCAGGTAAGAGGAAGGAGACAAGGAGGGGAGGCTGCTTAGTTCGGGGTAGGAAGGAAGCAAGTCGAAGGTGGCGTTACCTGATTGTGGCCGTCGGAAGGAGAAACCTTTGTCAAGGCAAATCTGAAATCCTTCTTCTTGGTGGTGGACAGGGAGAGCATAGAAGAGAGAGTGTGCTTTTCGCAATTGTGTTTGGTCAGGACTTTCGATTAGGAGGACTTTCAGTTCAATGACCTACAAAAATGGGTTAACAAAGTTTGGGTTTGCCCATTGGGGATTAGGGTGCTACATCTAGACGATAAGAGATGGATTTTCAATTTTCCAAAAGGAGAAGATGATCGAAGAGTCCTGAACACGGGGTCTAGGTTTTTTAACAGGGCATTACTACATCTTGAGCCCTGGCTGACTTCATTTGGAGTTTGGCGGAAAAGTGGAGACATACCTGGGTTCATTTGGGTGATGCTTTGCGGATTGCCTCTCCACCTCTGGAGCTCTGAGCTTGCTAGGAAGTTAGGTGATCTTTACAGAGGCTTTTTGGAGGATGATGACACGGAGTTTCTTAGTTAGTCTTTTGAATGCATTTGGATCAAGGTGCGATGGTTGGGCATTCCACCTCAGACAGAGAATATAGTGGTAGGTGAGGATATGTAAGTTACACTATGGTTGGAGGTGAAACCGAAGAAGATGAAAGTCCTAGAGGATTATTAGGAGGCGGTGGAAATTGAACCAAAGCTGGTCCGAAATGTCTTGGCAGGCTGCTCCATTGAGGTAGAAATTCTTTCAAGGCTAGAAGAGTGGAAAAGGAAACCTAGGGAAGGGGGTAGAAGAGGAGGAAGCTGGGAAGGCTATTGCCGCTGCAGATCAGGGAGGGGAATGGAGGCTGGTCGAAAGGAGCAGAGGAAGAAGACGAAATTGTGACCATTGAGGACCAAGCAAATCGACCGATCAGGAGAGATTCTCTCCATCTCAAACGACTGAGGTGATGTCACATGACTTTCAAATTTTAAACAGGTGGAAGGCTTTAGGCAAAGACGTGGAGTTTATTGAAAAGGTTTCGATGGTGGTGGTTAACCATCTCAAGTTCTAGAGTGTTGAATTGAACTTAGGACTTGGGGCTTAGACCCATGGGAAGACTGGGGCCCAATGCTCTATTGGCTCACCAAGGGTGCTAGGCCTGATAAGCTTTAAAAGCCCAACTCTTTCTTGTCGATGGGGGTTGGAGCCAAAGGGTTACCAAGGCAAGGGAAAGTTACTAGTTCAATCTGAAGACTCATCCTACTCTTCTTCAGTAGACTATGGAAGCTATGTAGACGATGGAGAAGGGTTGAGTCTATACTCCATGATGTGTGAAGGAGAGATGGAAGAAGAACTCAGATGATTTTTGTGGTGGGAAACAAATACCTGAAGCTAGCTTGCCAAGGGTGGAAGCAGGAGAATAGAGAGTCATAGAGGCTAGTAATGGCTTACGGGTTGGAGAAGGGGTCTGCCTGACTGTAAATAGTGGTGCTGGCGAGAGAGAGAAAAGAGGGCCAAAAGCTGGTGTACCTGATGCGGTTTCCACGGAGGGAGTTGCAGCAAGTTTTGGGGAAACCTGGTAGTTATATGGGCAGAAGGGGTCAACAGTTGATTTATTAGTAGCAGTTGTTGAAAAAGAAGGACTGTCGTTAGCCCCACTGGAACCTTTAGTGGTAATATTACCAGACAGGGAGGTGGCAGCGAGTCATTTGCAACTTAAGTCAGTAAACCTAAGGTATGTAGAAGAGAACGAAGTTTTGGAATGGGTGTGGTCGAAATTCCTTGGTTTTGGGGATTTTTTGGGGGTCTCCTTTAAAGGGATGGAGGAGGAAATGAAAGCTCTCTTGGTGGCAGTAGAAAACAGATGGCTGGTAGAGAAGGGGAAGAGGAACAAGAGGAAAGCAAAAGAGCTATTGAGACTTGCTTGGGGCCTAAATGAAAATGTGAGGTGTGCATGCCGGAATAACAAAGCTTCATGAAGATAGTTCAGACGGAAAGTCTAGAATTGATATCGTGGAACATCCGGGGCCTTGGCCTTGGTAGAAGAAAGAATAGTGGCAGGTGGTTTCTTGAGAGACAAGAAGGCTGGCATCCTAATTCTGCAGGAGACTAAGCTTTAGAAGTTGAAGCACAATGTGATTTGAAGTGTGTGGGGATCTGAGCCTTGTGGCTGGCTGGCTGTGCTAGCTAAAAACAAAGCAGGGGGGATTGTTCTAATTTGGAAGAGCAAGGTGTTTAAGTTGGTGGACAAGGAGGTGGGTCTATTTTCAATTTCAGTAAAACTTTATGGTTGCAGAACAATGTACCTATTTGTGGTGATAGGGGTCTATGGGCTGGTCGTCTCTTCTCTAAAAGATGCCTTTTGGGAGGAATTGAATGAAGGAGGAAGTGGGGTGGCCCTTGGGCTATTGGTGGGGATTTTAATGCAATCTTGAGGCAGGAGGTTAAGAAGGGGTGCAGGGGCACAAACAAGGGAATGCAGATATTTGTGGATTTCATCCGAATGTGGGAATTGCTTCATTTACCTTTGAGCGGAGCACGGTACACCTGGACCAACAACTAGGAGCTGTCTCTGGTTAGGTTAGATAGGTTCATTATCTCAGCTGATTGGGACAAGCTCTTCCCAAATACTTCTCAGGAAGCTTTGCTGAAAGTCTTGTCTGTTCATATTCCATTGCAGTATGGCTAGATTTCCAAGGAAGAAGGCTCAGCCCTTCTGGATGGAACACTGTGTTGGCTAGAATCGGAGGAGCTCAAAACAAGAATAAAATCCTGGTGGGCTGAGGCTGCTTTCGAGGGGTCATCTAGTCACATCTTGTGCAAGAAGTTACAATGGATGAAATGAAATATCAAGAAATGGCAGCAGGAGAGGGTGTCAAATGATGAAAAAGGAGGGCTGAATGCTTGCAAATTATAACTGAGATTGATTCAGAGGAGGAAGGTGGTACCTTGGGGGAAGCAAGGAGAGTGGAAGGACTTAAGGCTAAGAAAGACTACGATTTTCTAACTTTTCAAGAGGAGGTGAAATGGAGGCAGAGATCTAGGGCCATATGGTTGAAATTAGGTGACAATAACACCGCTTTTTTTCACAAGTTAGCAAATGTGAGGAGGAAGAATGACATCAAGAGGTTTCAAGTTGGGGATTCTATAGTGGATCAGAGGGAGATTAAGGAAGCCATTGTTAATTTTTATGAGCAGCTTTATGCTGAACTGTGTAAGGTCAGACTAACTTGGGATGGACTTCACTTTGAGACTGACTGAACACTAAGTTGCTGAGTTGGAAAAACCGAAAAACCCTTTCAAGAGGAGGTAAAGAGAGCATTAGATGAGATGGAGGGGGACAAAGCTCCAGGCCCTGACGGCTTTACATTTCTCTTCTTTAAAAAATTTTGAGATGTTCTAAAGCTTGATCTGTTGAGAGTCTTGGAGGAGTTTCATCAGTTTGCAGCCTTTGAGAGAAGCTTGAATGCTTCCTTCATCTCCTTAATTCCCAAG